GAATATTGAATTGAATATTGGAATGAAGAATAGAATAGCATAGAATAGGGAATTTAATAGAATATTGGAATGAAAAATAGAGTAGGCTAGAATAAGAAATATAGTTGAATTGAATATTGGAGTGAAAGAATAGAATAGAATATGGAGTAGAATGGAATGTGGGATAGAATAGAACGTTGAAATGAAGAATAGAATGGAATAGAAGAACAGAACAGAACAAGATATAGAATAGAATAAGAATAGAATAAGGAATAGAATAGAACAGAAGAACAGAACAGAATAAGATATAGAATAAAATAAAAATGGAATAGAATAGAATATGGAATTGAATTGAATATTGGAATGAAGAATAGAATAGCATAGCATAGAACAGAATCGAATAGAATAGGAAATTTAATAGAATATTGGAATGAAAAATAGAGTAGGCTAGAATATGGAATATAATTGAATTGAATATTGGAGTGAAAGAATAGAATAGAATATAGAGTAGAATGGAATATGGAATAGAATGAATGAAGAATAGAACGGAATATGGAATAGACTAGAACATGGGAAGGAAGAATAAAATAGAGTAGAATAGAATAGAATAGAAATAGAATAGAATAGAAATAGAATAGAAATAGAATAGAATAGAATAGAATAGGAGGTTTGCAGAGAGGGGGAGGAGTAAGACTTTGGGGTCCTTGGTGCTCTCTGAGCTTGCTGGTTTTCTTGCAGACATTTCCTTACAAACTAGGTAACATCATCAGAGCTGGTAAGGAATGGGATATAAACATGTTTAGAGGTTCTTTGTGTAGAAGAAGCCCATAGTAAACCGCCCAACCAAAGAACCTCTAAAACCACCCCAGGGCAAACAACTAGAATATAAACATAGAGCAAATCCCACTTCTTTCTAGCACTGATGATATTACCTAGTTTGAGTAATGAAACACCTGCAAGAAAACAAGCAAGCAAGCTCAGAGAGCACCAAGGACCCCACAATCCTCTTCCTCCTCTCCAAACCCCCTTCTAATTTGGTAGTGAAACATCTGCAAAAAGACAACCAAACTCAGAGAGCATCAAGGATCCCTAACTTCCAAACTCTATTCAGAATTGTAAATTGAGAAAGATTTCTATTCATTGCTAGACCACTATAAGATACTTTGAAAAAAAAAAAAAACATGGCTCAGTCACTCGGGAGCTTGACTTATTCAGTGGGATTTTAAACAAAATTAAAGTTAACAGTCCATTCCAATTGTTGACAATTTAGAACAGAGATTTAAAAATCCTGCTTAGATTTTTTTTTTTCTGCTTGCAGGTTAGGTGTAATCAAAGCTGCCTCTGGTTTTGCTAATTCGATAGTTAACAAAACTGTCTTTTAAAAGCAGTTTTCTCCTTGAGTTAATGGCAAGAGGGCGGCTTTTTTAAAACCGTGAAGTCAGCTATGAACATTTTTTAATAATCATTCTACATTTGGTAGATATCCTACCAATTTTTTCTGCCTAGTAGGAAGGCCTTATTATTAATCTACTATGTTTTGAAATCTCCACATTTCAACATTCTTTTTTTCTTAAATCATGAAAGCTTAAAAGTCTTGCCTATTCAACCATATCTTAAAATATATAAGGTAAACGTTCCTAGGATCACATTTCTATTGTATAATATTTAACCGTTGGATAATAAATGCAAGTTAATCTTGCCTAAAACGATAAAACAGTATCTTTCATACCAGATTGTGGTGAGCTGTCCATCAGTACGGAGGATGGGAGCATGGATGAAGCATTTCTCCATTACAGAGATGGGTGCCCGCCAAATTTTCTTCCAAGTTGTCCAGTATCTCGTCTCGATCAAGTTTCATCTCGCATATAATCCATATACTTAAAGTTATACTTCAAATCCTCCGCATCAGTAGATCTCAGTTCAGAAGGCAAAGCTGCACTGGGGTCTAAAGGGATCTGTTTAATGGGAAGGGTCTTTTTTCTCCCATAGGCTAAATAGGTCCAGACAGGTCCAGACAAGTCCGTGAGATCAAGAGTGGATGGAAGGGACCACTTCCGCTGCTGACGTTTATTGGAAGTTTAACAGCCGGATGTAAGTCTAATACGTATTATTTTAGTACCGCTAGATTGCTAATCTGCGTTCTTTCCTAACAAATTTTGCCTTAAATCGATAAGCCGTAACAATTCCTTAGATTTAAACAAGAGGAAAACCTACACACCAATTCCATGCACACTTTCTACAATTTTGCAAACAACTAACTAAAAGACTTAAGGTCCATCCCACCCCTGAAAGGAGGTGAAGACTGCAGCGATGACACCATTAAAGCCGTCCCTGTCCTATTGTTTCTTTTTGTTTCTTTTTATATTTTATTTATGTATCCATTTCATATATTCATAACTATGCTATACTTATACCTGTTACCTTATAATCGCTTGACAAAATAAAATAAATAAAATAAAATTTCAAGACAGCAGCTCTCAAGTGCAGAAAATATACATATCAGAATTGGAAGCAGCTTTTCTGGTTTTTCTGACTTCCAAAATTCTAATTCAGACTGGGCAACTTGATGATGTGTGGACTTCAACTCCCAGAATCCACCAGCTAGCATGCTCTAATAATGGGAACAGCCCAGCTGCAGAGTGGTACAGAGTGGTACAGAATTGGATCTAGAATTGGAAAGATGAGATTGAAAATGCTGGGATTTATCGTGCCGATTAAAAAGATCCGGCTTATCATAATTTGGGGAAATTATAGCTGAGCAGTGGGTACGTACTCTGTTCTCTGCCACTTTGCAAGCTTGATTTTAAAAACGGTATTAAAGTGTAGAAAAATGAACTATTTTGGTTATTTTCAAAGCTTACATTAAGATAACGCCTGTATTCGGGCAATTGATGGGTTTTGAACTTCTACAGGTCATCCTCCAGTTATGACCACAATCGAGCCCAACGTTTCTGTTGCTAAGTGAGACATTTGCAAAGTGAGTTTTGCCCCACTTGAAGACCATTCTGGCCATCGTTGTTAAGTGAATCACTGCAGTTAAGAGAGCAACATGGTTGTTAAGTGAATCTGGATTCCCCATTGATTTTGCTCAGGAAACGTGATCACATGACCTCGGGACTCTGCAACCGTCATAAGTGCGAGGCAGTTGCCAAGGGTCCACATTCTGATCATGTGGCCACGAGGTTGCTGCAAAAACGGCCATGTCACTTTTTTTCAGTACCGTTTTGTAACTTCGAACAGTCGTTAAATGAATTGTTGTAAGTTAAGAATCACTTATACCAGTGATGGCTAACCTTTTTGGCACCGAGTTGTCCCAAATCTCCAAAATGCAATTTGCATGTGTCTCCCGTGCATGTGTGTGCCCCTCTGCACATGTACCCCACCCTCACGTGTGTGCACACTCCTGCACGTGCATCCCACACATGGACTCCACCCCCATGCATACACCCCGCAGAAGAGACCCAAAGACCAGCTGGCCAGTGGAAGGCATGCGCACATGCGTGGCAGACCTGAGCTGAGCCATGGCTCATGTGCCCAGAGAGAGAGAGCCCTGCGAGCCACCTCTGCTATAGGCTTGCCATCACGGACCTATACAATGCTTTTATCAGCCAAGATATTTTTTTTTTAAAAAAAAAGTGGAATGGGGCTATTATAGATAATCATGTCTATAATTAGGTCTTAAGGAAAGAGATTATTTTTAGCTGCCAAAAATCAGGAATCTGATAATTTTATAGAATGCATTGGCTGGGTAAGGGGCTACCATGTTATTCCTGATTTTTCATTTTACAACAAACAGGAAAATGTATAAATCATTATGCCCTCCTTTGAAGAAGCCTTGCTAATAAATTCATGCAGCATGGTTATTTGTAGAGAGTTTTTACGGAGACCTAACCGTTGATTGGTTTCAAAAATTATTTTTATTGTAGTTTGCAATTTTTCCCCCCAATAGAATTTTCAGAAGTTAGCGATTTCAGAGGTTTTACTTCCAACAAACACACTTGCATTTTTTTTAAAGATCAAATAATAAAATATTTATTGAAAAGGCAATTCCTACAAAAAAATTGTACAGCTGCTTAAAAACCATGGTGATGTAAGGAATAGAGAAGACACTTCCAAGAGCAAAAGAAGAAAAATCAGACTTCGATGTGCATTATTTCTAAATCCAAGAGATTTCTTCTCCTACAAATTCTTGCACGGAGAAGTTCCTTTTGGTCTCAGCCGCGTCTTAAAAGAGCAATGCGCTTATTAAAATAGCTTGTATGTTTTAAAAAAAAGGCTCACGGATTTAAAATTAAATTCCTGGGTCGGTATTTTAAAAGTCACACTGTGAGTAACAGCCACTGGTTTTTTTAAAAATTTTATTTTAACACTTCTGTGTAACAAGGATAATTAAAATAGTTTGTAAAAAAAAAAGTTTTAAGAAATTCCTCATATGGAGAAACACTAGAGTCACTAAGCAATCTAAAACCTGACCTCGTGAGTACAAAACCTTTTCCTTAAGCAGATATTTTTGGTGAGGAAACACATCCAAAGAGACTACCACTTCCAATATCACAGTGAAAGCTTCATGTCTCCAGTACTTCTACTAAATTAAACCATGATCAACACCGAGCACTACAGTTTGAGAGTATCTCGTATGGTTTCCATGATGCTGAGCTTTGGCTCACCACGTCTAGCGTGGAGTGATATTTGCAGTCATCGGAAGGGTCCACAAATGGCTACACAGAAAAACCTGGCTACCCATCAAGCTGAGTTTGGAAGGTGGGTGTCCAATACAAGGCTAAGAGCCTACTCCCCAATTCTTCAATTGTCTTAGGTCCGTTGTGGGCATCCTGCATGCACCAGGCTAAAACAAAACCCCAAAAGAGCAGCAAAATCGTTTGGTTACACTTCTGGCACTTCTTTCATCAAGTAATATAAAGAACAAACAATGCATCCCATTCAGCAATACTATAATTTCATGACAAAACTCTCTCGGCATCAATTTCAAATCCAATACATTGGGGAGTTTTTTGTTTTTAATCCAGAGAGAGAGAAAAAGGATAACTCAGGAGGAGGAAGAGCGAAAAACAGCAAGCTGTGGAGAACAGAGCAGATCAAAGGTTGCACAAAGCGAAAAATTAGGACTAAAAACAAAAATCTGCTTCTTGATCCGGCACAAGGTATTTGTGTGGGATGTTCTGTCATTTTTTTCCCCTCTGCTTTCTTCAAACATGCGGGAGGCCAAATATTTATAATTATTAAGAAGAAAATGTAAAATGTGACTCTCGAGCCTCTCTCCCATCGTCTGGGTCCAAACAAGAGCCAAAAAGGAAAACAACTTTACACCGTACAGTATTTGCAGAGTTGTGGGAAGCTCAAAATGGCAACCCGGATGTAACGTTCTGCTGATAAGTTCCAGGAGGTTGAGGTTGCTGCTGTCACAAGGAAAGACCCAACTGTGAAACATTAGGCAACGTGTCAACTCATTCATCGAATAAACCACGACGAACTCTGGATGTGACCTGTCAACACATCGGGACCACAGACATGGAAGGGAGTGAAAGGCTCGCAATCCACAAACACACGCGCTGGTTAAAAAAAGCAACAACGTTGCGGCGAGTGGCAGTAAAAACACTGTCGCCGTTTTCTATTTACAATTACTTGCGTGTGGTAAACGCAGACGAGTTTCTGGAAGAGGCTGCCTCGGCACCCCCTCGCCATGAGAGATGAGGAAATGGTAATACTGTCCTAGGAGAAATCGGTAACACAGAGTTCGGGCAGAAAAGCTGTGGAGACGTCAGACGTTTTGCCCGCCTTTCCATCAAAGGTTGAAGACACACCTCTTTCTCGGTCTCCTTTGGCCTCGTTGTAGTGAAGAAACAAAATGGTGTGTGTAATTCCACAATCCTCTGCACAAAGGCTATGGGTTATTGGACGTGGAGCCGAGGTTTCAAGATTAATTTTCCAGTCTGTGTGGGGAGGAAAAAAACAACAACCAGCCTTAAGTGGTAAGATAAACCAGCACTTCTCTCCCACCAGAAGTTTCGTTTCCAATGTCAAAACTCAACGTAGTTAATCCAAGGAAAACAGAGTTACTTACGTCGTCGCACGACATGTTGTATTCCGCCAAAACAGTTCGACATCGAGCGGCTATGCTGAAGCGGGTGTCAAAGAAACTTGCTTTCTCCATAGTCAAAGGGCCTGCTTTCCTAATCCATTTAGCAAGCTGATAAAAATATTTCTGAGCTGCTCACCAAATATTTAATTTCCCTTCCAACCGCTCGATAATTCTTTTAAAAAATGCTCGTCAGCGACAAAATATGAAAAAAAATCAAATCAAATCAATTGCCTTTTTAGACAAAAGGGCACAAAGCTATATTCTCCTTTCTCTGTAGCTTTTTAAGAGGGGAAAGTTTTAGTCTGAGGCAAAACCTACGCTAGAGTTAAGAGCTTCTTATACTTTAAATTGCCCTCCTGTAAATATGGCTAAACGGCATTCAGGTAGTCCTCAACTTACAACAATAACTGAGCCCAACATTTCTGTTGTTAAGTGAGACATTTAAGTGAACGTTGTCCCATTTTCCGCCTTTCTTGCCTTGGTTGTTAAGTGAATCACTGCAGGTAATCAGTTAGTAACCCAGTTGTTAAGTGAATCTGGCTTCCCCTTTGATCACATGATCTAACAGATAATCAGAGTTGGAAGGGATCTTATAGGTCATCTAGTCCAAACCCCCCACCCAAGCAGGAGACCCTACACCATTTCTGACAAATGGCAATCCAATCTCTTCTTGAAAGTTTAAAGTGATCTTGAGACACAGTAATGGTCACAAATATGAGTCAGTGGCCAAACCTTTGAATTTTGATCCCATGATGAGAGAAAATGCTGCAACAGTCATAAGTGTGAAACATGGTCATAAGTCACTTTTTTCAATGCCATTGTAACTTTGGTCCCTAAACGGACTGTTGTAAGTCAAGAATTCAATAGCTATGTATTGCACATATTCACCTGGTACCTGCATAAAACCCTTGGAAAAGGATACATTGACGGCGCCACTACTCTTTTATGTATTCCAGCAAAAAATAAACCAATTAATGTAATACAGCTAATGGTGAAGAATGGATGATTCCATAGAGATGTGAAAAAGGATACCTAGGAGAGAATCAAACAACTTTTTATTTAAAAAAAAAAACATTCTTACATTGAATGAGTAAACACAAAACTGAAAGACGGAACTCACAAAAACTGTAAGGAAGTGAAAATCTCCACTGTACTTTCGATTCCCTTCTAAGCAAATTCTTAGCAAAAAGCAATAAACCTAATTTCTATTTTTTTTCCTCTGCTACCATGGTATATAGGGGTTAGCAATCTGATTTTATTTTTTTTAAGGTGGACAGATTCTAGTTGTTAGCTTCCGAAATCTAATCTAAAAGACCCCAAATTATGGTGTAATCACAAGTAGACAACTCTCCTATGTTGTTCTAGACATGCTTTGAGAATGTGCAGTATTGAGATTCTATTTTGGGAAACAAAAGTGCTACCTTGACGGTAATGACATGCCTCAAATATTGTTCGAGGAGAAACAGCAATTTTCCAGACATCCCACAACACTTGCTAAAATATCCTAAATATCTTCCCTATGAATCTATAGGGCCATTTTTTTAAAAAATGCTAGGACTTCACCCACCTTCTGTGTTTCAGGATCTATTAACCAGTTCCAAGCACCAGTGGCTGTACAGACTGATACCACTATAAGAATTACTGGAGGAAAACCAAAAGGACAAAAATGATGTTGTTATATTTCATACATTGGGAATAAACCATAACAACAACCAAATTGGACCCTGCCAACTACGGTCTCAAATTGTGAAGGTTGTAAAGCACCCCATGATCGGATCTGGTTTATTACTTTTTTTGCAGATTTTTTAAAAGCAAAAATCATCCTTATTGTAAACCGCAAGCATAGTCATTATAATATACTTTACCGAATAATGCAGATTTCCATCACCTAGCTTTTCAAAATGAGTTTCTTAAAGACACAGATAGCAACAATTTGATCAAGTGTTTTAATAGTTGGGAGGAAGGCCTGCAACTTACTTCTCCAGCGTCCAGTAGCTGGTTGTAAACAAGCTATGTATTCAGTTAGTCTTCTTTCAAAAGCCTTGAGATCTAAAAATGAAAGGGAATAACCGGATTAGCCAAAGCCTACTTTAGAACATAGATTTAGCATCTTGAAACTCCTTTACATGATGGCTACTAAGGACATTTGTGTGCTTTTAAGTTAGTGCTGATTTCTGGCCCTACCTGGATAAATCTCTGCAGTTTTATTTTTCATTCTAGCTGTGTTTTGTCTATTGTACTGATAGATAAACACTTTTTTTTTTGTAAAATTGGATACGGATGACACAGACACATAATACAATACCATCCAGTGCAGGTAATCCTAAATTGAATACTATTGGCCAAGTGTGATTAGACCTGCAAGAAATTTGTCTCCAGTACAAAAGCACTCAGTGTACTTGCAACGAAAATAACAATAATTAGGTCCTATAGGTAGACAAAAATGCCAAATTCAGTTTGAACATCTGGCCTCTGCAATGAACCATAGTAGCAATATCACTTAGACTTATATACCGCTTTATAGTGCTTTATAGCCCTCTCTAAGCAGTTTACAGAGTCAGCCTCTTTCCCCCCAACAATCTGGGTCCTCATTTTACCCACCTCGGAAGGATGGAAGGCTGAGTCAACCTTGAGCCTGGTGGGATTTGAACTGCCAAACTGTAGGCAGCTGGCTGCAGAAGTAATAAATAATAATAATACAAGGGGAAAATAAAGAAGATAATTTATTCAGAGCACAAATCCTGTTGTGTGTGAAAAATGGTCCCAAGTCCCTTCACTAAATGAACTGTTGTATACCGAGGACTACCAGTACTCAACCCTGACCAAAAGTGGGGGAGAGAGGGAGTAGGATGAGTGGGGTGGTGATGGTGGGATCTGTTATTGATCTATCAACCACCACAATGGTCCAAATAATTGCCATTCCTAGTCTATCCCCTCACCTGCAGGCTCACCAAGCAAGTTGGTGGGGATGAAGTAGACCTGATGAACTGCGGCCAGCACATAGCCTATACGTCTGCTGAACTGTCCTTCTCTAATTTATTGAATAGATAGATTAGATAGATAATGGATGGATAGGTGGGTGGGTGGATGATAGATGACCCAGACAGATGGTGATAGATGACATAGATGATAAATTGGTGGATGATATAGATTGATAGACAAATTATATAGAGATAGATGATTGACAGTTAAATACACCTACAGACATGATAGATTATATATAGTTAAATAGATATATAGATGTAAATAGATACCGATAGATTAGATAGATTAGATGGATGGATGGATGGATAGATGATAGATAGATAGATGGATGGATGGATGGATGGATAGATAGATAGATAGATAGATAGATAGATAGATAGATGATATCTAGTAGATAAATGATAGACGATAGATGATAGATAGATAGATAGATAGAAGATAGATAAATGATAGATAGATAGATAGATGGATGGATGGATGGATAGATAGATAGATAGATAGATGATATCTAGTAGATAAATGATAGACGATAGATGATAGATAGATAGATAGATAGATAGATAGATAGATAGAAGATAGATAAATGATAGATAGATAGATAGATAGATAGATAGATAGATAGATAGATAGATAGATAGATAGATAGATAG